CTCTGGTCCTCAGCCCCCCCCAAGCACCATTGCAGCCCCCACCACTCCCCACGCACAGACCACACACGTTACACAGGTTTACAAAGCACATTGGTTGAAGGAAACTGAACTCAGTGAAAAGATAAATCCAACCACGCGGCACATCTGAAAAAAATAAATTACTTTCAAAATACCATCATTTGCTCAAGTTGAACAGGGTTTGCCTTCCTTTAAATACACTGCTCGCTACAGCTGCTCTACCCAGAACTGCTGCTTCCTCTGAGCTTTGCCATTAGTTTGTAAGAAAATATTCTGTTTTGTATGTGCCCCGTGGCCTGGCGCAGGTTGCCGCAGCTTTGCCCATGCCAGCTTGCAGCCGGTGCCAGAGCAAGCAGGACAGCTCTCGCCTGTCTGGGAGACGGGGAAGAGCAAGAAATGCAAACCCACCTCCTCCCGTGGGCAGAGGGGCTTCTGCCCCACGGGGCGCTCGGGGGGGAGCAGGGGGCTGACTGGGCTGCAGCCCCAGCACTGCTGTGCGGGAGGACCCAGGAGGTAGAATAATTAGTAATGCTCATCATCTTCTGGGATGTGCCTTCCCCTGCCTGCAGCTTCAAGTATGCCGGACGCTGGAGTACAGGCAAGGGTGAAGACAGAGGCAAGGTCCTGGCTTGCCACCGCGCAGTGGGGCAGGCAGGCAGGCAGGAGCAGAGCGAAGGGAGGTCAGCGCCGGGCAGGAGAGCTGCAGGCAGCCGGTGCACAGCTCAGTGCCCCCTCTCTGGGGGTGGTGGGGAAGGAGGGAAGGACCCCAGCGATGGTGAGAGCTCCACCGAGGCTCTGCAAGGGTCTGGCAGCAGCTTGGAGCTAAGCCCTCGCTGCACCAGCTCAGCGTGCCCATGGCAGGCAGCAACCGCTGCCCTGTGCCACCTCCAGCTTCTGCTCCTGCCTTAGCCCCGGCAAAGGTATTTGGACATCCCTGTTTTCTCCTTCACCAAGCTCAGCTGGAGCCCCCCCTCTCCAGGGGCAGTGGTGCAGGTCTGGCTGGGTGCCGCAGCCCGCTGGCAGCAGCTCCTCTTACCACGCAAAGTCCATGCGGGCCCCCAGCAACCTCCTCCAGCCTCCTCCAGCCTCAGCTACAACATGTTGTAGTACGCCATCTCCTTCATGGCCTGCTCGGTCAGGGCGTGCTCGTCCGGAGGGTTGCCTACCCCCCTGTAGCCGTAAGAGTTCTCCTCCTCGAAGTCGTCCATCTCCTGCTGCCCGTCCAGCTCGGCGTGGTCGGCCCCGGCCAGGTCCATCATGGGATCTAGGATTCAGCACAGGGACACCCAATGACGGACCTGCATGAAGGTCCAGGGACAACAGCACCCCTCCTCCCTGGGCAGCTTGGGTTTAGAGCCCAAAGCTCCCCAGAGCTACAGCTCTGCTTGAGCCAGGCCACTTGTGGGGGGCTCTCAGCTCAGAAGATCCCCAGCCATGCACCGCAGCAGGGATGGGTTGCCGGCAGAGTGCTGCCTGAGCAGAGAGCTGGCATGCATGTGCTTGCCCCCGACCGGCGCCTGTGCCACACGCACAGGGGTCTGCAGCACCCGTCCCAACGTGGGGGCCGGGGGAGGCGAGGAGA